GTTATGCATTTGAAGTCTACGCCCTACCATGGAATACAATTGGAGCCTTTTTACCTACCTGTCGTATCATTTCATCTGTGACGTCAACATTTGTACCATTCGGGTATGGTTCAACAATACTGTACAAATTATTCCAGAAACGTCCCCACATGTCACCTTTTGTTGGTTGAAAATTAAAAGAAAACAACGACTGTTAAAGATGATAGATTGTGTCCTAAATACTATTTAGTAATAGATGAAGGCCACCGGGTGGCCACTTTGAAATCAAGTAGTCGGGTCTACTCCGAGGCTGATATCTGGAATCATAATTGATACAATTATACGCTATTGGTCAGAAAGTTTTGAAATGAGCTGCTGCCTCGCAATTGGTCAGAAAGTTTTGAAATGAGCTGCTGCCTCGCCATTGGTCAGAAAGTTTTGAAATGAGCTGCTGCCTTCCTATTGGTCAGAACGTTTTGAAATGTGCTGCTGCCTCGCTATTGGTCAGAAAGTTTTGAAATGAGCTGCTGTCTCGCTATTGGTCAGAAAGTTTTAATATGAGCTGCTGCCTCGCTATTGGTCAGAATGTATTAAAATGTGCTGCTGCCAGGCTATTGGTCGGAATGTTTTGAAATGTGCTGCTGCCTCGCTATTGGTCAGAAAGTTTTGAAATGAGCTGCTGTCTCGCTATTGGTCAGAAAGTTTTGCAATGTGCTGCTGCCTCGCTATTGGTCAGAATGTTTTGAAATGAGCTGCCGCCTCGCTATTGGTCAGAATGTATTAAAATGTGCTGCTGCCAGGCTATTGGTCGGAATCACCGTGACCCACCCCATCACAGTGATGGTACACCCCTTACCTAATACATCAGCTGGTAGACATCCCTATCAAGGTTTATCTTATCACCCACCCCATCAAAGTAATTGTACACCCCTTACCTAATACATTAGCTGGTAGACATCCCTTATCAAGGCTTATCTTATCACCCACCCCATCACAGTAATTGTACATCCCTTACCTAATACATTAGCTGGTAGACATCCCTTATCAAGGTTTATCTTATCACCCACCCCATCACAGTAATGATACACCCCTTACCTAATACATTAGCTG